ACACACACACACACACACACACACACACACACACACACACACACACAAAGGCACTGAGAGCAAACATTTTACTGGGAACTAAACTGGGGTTTTTTGTGCAAATATTCAGGCATCCAGTAATGAACACTTTCTACCAGCAGTATATTCTAATTTAGTTATGGGGATTGCTAGATGGACTTGAGCAAATGTCAACTGCAGCAAAAATCTCTATTTTCACATGTTTTGTACTTTAGCCAGTGCTAATTCAACTCATCTTGGCAACACAAGTCACACAGTTTATATTTTTATCCATGTGTTTTATAGGAGAGTATTTCTGTGTGGTATGTCTGAAAGTCTCTATCTTTCAGCGTTCATTTTGAATTTCTTGACCCATTTTTCTTGGTGTTTTTGGGCCAATCCTCTTGTCTTTCATWTCATGTTAAACACTTTCCTTTAGCTGTACTATAAGAACAATTCCTTCGAAGGTGTCTATAAATGTGTTTCTTTGTCTCTGCAGGCGAACCACTTTGCAATGTGAATGGACGGAAGTAGTTGAGACAGAACTTCCTCGATGCTGTGAAACACGCTGAAGACAGAAGTTGCTGAACGAAACGACTATCCGTCATTAATGTTTGATATGACTGGACTGTCTAAACATGAATACACATTATATACACACACATGCACAAAAACAAAACAAAACACACACTTAATAGTTGCATCTACAGGTCAACTTATTTCCTGTTACACAGATATACAGACACCCCTGTGTAAACTTGGGTGTAACGACACACTTTATATATAGTCATTTTCAAAACTTGACATGCGTCTTTACCCGCTGCACTTCGCTGCTGCAGTAAACATTAATTCTGCTGTACAGTCCATTTTATGTTTGTGAGGGCACTTGTGTGTCTGTGAAATGAATTGTATACTGTTAACTAATTAATCTAACTAAATAAAAGTTCATTAAACATTGTTAGATAATGAGTAAATGTGTCTGACTTGTGTTGTTTGAGATTGACCATTGTTGAATTATAAAAATAATGTGATCTGTTTGCAATCTGCCAACTGTTTCCTGACGTAAATCTGCTGCTTTGTGTTATTAAAAAAACAAACCGATAAAGCAACTCAGTGATTGGTATACTATATTGAGTATATAAAATAAACATGTGCGTCATAAAATTAACAATTTAGAACATTTGCCATTATTGACAATTTTACCTTGCCAGGGGCAGGGCCACAGGGGCATTGGCCCCAGCTGAAATCTGATTGGCCCCCTAAAGTTCGCCTGCCCTGTCACTCATCTGTCCTTTACCTGGGAGTGATGATGGTGGATGCAGTTCCATCTTCAAACACTAGTTGTGCTAACGAGCCAAATAGTAAAGTCCAGACTGAATCAAGTTTACAGAATTCTTGTCTTAAGAAAATCTGAACAATCCTGCAAAAAAAAAAAAAAAAAGATATTTCAACTGACAATTGATGGCTGGATTTTCTCACATCTTGTGTGTTTGAGAATATTTTATCTATGTTCAGTAAAATGTATGAAAAACTTGTGAGGAGAATTTAATCTGCACACCTTTTTTTTCRTACCACTTTACAATAAGACTCCCCTTATAGATGGCTTATAAAGAGTTTATAGATAGGTTACTATGTAAACACTATAAATCATTATTAAATGTTTATTATGCAATAATTAAGGACGAGCAAAAGACCACAAACTGTCTGGTTTCTTACCAAATGAGACAAATATGTTCACGTACGTATTACATCTAAAGATGCTATATTAAACATTTCAGACTAGGTTACTACATTGTAGGTACAATAACGATAAACACATTTTAATATATTATTTTACTGTATTACTGCATTATTAATATTCACAACAGTCAAAGGGACTTACCGTAAAGTGCAATACAGTACAATATTAATGTCAAACATAAATGTCAAAAGTTAGTCGTGAGCATTTTTTAAAACTTTGTGTTGATTATCAATATTTGAAATTATTGTTCAAATGTAACTACTGTCAACAATGATTTATCTAAAAGGTAAAAACGCATGTTAACCAAATAATCCCACCCCATCCAAAATAGTGTACAGTTTTACATTTTACACTAAGGATCCCTATAATATTTGGGGCTATTTATAATGCAGTAATACAGTACAATATTATATGTTAAAATATGTGTTTCCTAATTGTGCTTACAAGGTAGTAAACTAGTCTGAAATGTTTAATACACAAACAGATTTGGCTCAGATATTTGGAAAGAAACCGTACTGTTTATTCTCTTTTTTTACCTTAATGTATAATAAACACTTAATTTATAAAGTGCTCACTGATGAATTAATAATCTAAACTCTTTAAAAGTCATCTACAAGGGGAGCCTTATTGTAAAGTGGTACCCTTTTTTAAAAACGTACATTACAAGTTTTTGAACGTGTGACTGGTTAAATGTTTACACCTTAAACTGGGGATTTGTGTGAAAGGATGTTGAACAAAGACTTGGCCCCTCTTATTATGGCCCCTTGATGGCCCCTTACTCAGAAAAATCCTAGATCCGCCACTGGTTAGAACAAAGGAAAGGAACTAGTTCTTGAGTCTCTCAGTCTTGTTTTCTCTATTTTTATAACATTTAAACATTGACCTGTGCAAGTCTGAGCTCTTTATATGTTTGTGGAAAATAACCCCATCCCATTTTCAAATTAGATGTAAACTTCCAAMCTAAAAATGATCAAAGTTTAACAAAATCTTGGCCAGTTTGTTGGATGTTTAAATGTGACTGTTTGAATTTGTCTTTATAAAAGCAGAGATATATTTACTTAAACCCTTTAATAAGTTTTAGCTGGGAAAAATTTGATTTGGATCAAATTCTTTGTTTTTCTAATGTCCACTATATATAAATTTTAAATTTTATAATGTAACAAACTTGTTTTTATTTATAATGAATATAGTATACCACTTGTTTTTTCAAACTTCAAGTGTATTTTGTGGTTCTGGGAAAAATGGATTTGTTGACAGAAATGTCTCTTGATTATAAAAAATAAGATTTATTGCCAAGACGCATTGTTACAACTGAGAAATAATCTACCAAACACTGATTTTTTTTTACCTTTTTATACTATCATTTCAATCCACTTGAACCCTTTTTGAGTTGTCTGATCAGTGGTCCCCAAACTGGGGGTTTGTCAGAGGGCACTGGGGGTGGGGGGTGGGG